TATAATATATATTATATTATATATAATACTATAATATATCATGTTATAATATAACATATAATATATAATATAACATATATCATATTATATAATTATTAATATATATTATATATTATATATCATATATTATATAATATATATTATATAATATATAATATATAAGGTATTGCAAAGTAGTTTGTTGAATTACTGCATATGTGTTGATTTGAGATACTAATCTTCTTATCATATATTTGCATGACTTTGGCAGGAGACAATGACGACTATTTAAAACAAAAAGAATCTGTATTCTGATTCTTGGAAAGAATGTTCCGTATATATCTGTCAAGTTCATTTGGTCTACTGTGAACTTCAAGTTCAATATTTCCCTTCAATTTTAGTCAAAAATATTTGTTCATTTCTGAAACTGGAGATCTGGATATCAACCATTGTTGTTTTGCTGTGGCCTATTCAGACGTTAGATCTGTTAATATTTCTTTTATATACTTGAATATATTTACAATTGTTATTTGTATTTTGATGCATTTGATGAATTTCTCCCAGTCATTATTTGAAATTTCTTGCCTTTTGTGACAATGTTTGACTGAAATTCTACTCTCCCCAAAGATGCATTCAAGTATAGCTAATCTTACTTTTATCTATCATCTATCTATCTATCTATCTATCTATCTATCTATCTATCTATCTATCTATCTATCTATTTCAGTGCCACACATCGAACCAGGCCCTTGTATGCTGTTCAGGTATTACCACTGAACTCCATCCTCAACCCTACCCCTTATCATTTTTATTATTATTTAGATGAAATTATCTTTTTCTATCCTTTCATTTTCAGTCTATATATTTTCTTATGACTAAATTAAGTCTCTTGTGGGAAGTATCCTAGTTGTATTATCTCTTTCAAAAATAGTTTTAGCTTGTTATTTTGGGGGGAAGGTGAAGAATTTATTCCATGTACAAATATAATTGGTACCACGAAAGAATGCATCAGTCAGGAGAAGACCAGTGGTGGTCTGACAAATTTGTGTTTCCTAATCATGTGTACACTCATTTGTGTAGTCACACTCTGAAACGTTTACTCAATGACAAAATTTTCTAATGACATATTTCTCAGTTTAGTTCCAGCCTAACTTGTTTCTTGCAGCCAAAGTGTGTGGTGTCTTTACAATGGGGTCTTAGTATATACAGTTCTGATAGGTAACCAAGGATGTTGTTCCTAACCTGTACAGTTTGAGGGCCCTCTGGGGGACTCCTAACTAAAAAAGAGGTTTCCCACATCTGCTACTGGAAGTTTTAAAATAAACTGTAATACTTCTGTTCAGAATCTTTTTGGAATTATGGTTTTTTTTTAAATTAGCGTATAAAGCCATAGCTTTCCATGAGACTTCTTTATATATCTTCAGTTTTGGTGAACTTGTCCCCCACTTGAAGCATGGTTAATAAAAACTCAGAGAGAGAAACGGGGGTTCGACCTGAAGGTCAGGAAAGCAAAACAGCCAGCCGCTGACTCTTACCTCGACCTCAGTCTGAAATGGCGATCCTGCCTCCAGGAATCTCGGAATGAGACCGTGATGGAGAGCTGTCTCCTCCCGTCTTACATTCTGCTCTGGTTCTGGGATTAAAGGCATAAACCACCCGGTTCCTATGACAAACTCTTGTGGCTACTGGATTAAAGGTGTATGATACCACTTCCTGGTCTGTAAGGCTGGGCCTGTTTTACTCTCTGATCTTCAGGCAAACTTCATTTATTAAAATGCAAATTAAATGCCACGACACCCACTTTCTATTCTCTCTTACTCCCATCTCTCCTTGTAGCTCTCTAGATATCCCATATACCCCGTTATTCTCTCTATTTTTATATCACATGTGTCATGCTTTCATCTCCCTTCTTAATTGCAACTTTTATTTTTAAAAAGCTTAAAATTTTATTTTATTGCAACTCCTTAAGTATTTTATATTTGTGAAAGAAAAAAGTATTTTTCTTAAAATGCTATTTTGCAAAGAGTTTAAGACATCTCATTCAAATTGCTCCTGTTTTTTCCTAAAAATTATAACTGAGTCCCCAGTGTCTCATTTCATCACTGACCAGCTATGTGATTTAGAAAAGATCAGTTTTTAGATTCATAAAGTGGCCAAAGTGTTTGTTAGTCAATAGCACATAACTGTATTAATATAGACAAAGCATGCAGACCCACTTCTGGTATGTATGGTAAACATTTGATATACGGAGTGATATTGAAAGCCACTGGAACGTATTGTTAGAGAAAGAGAGGGTAACCAGGTTTATTTGCATTTCTATGCCTTATAGCTCAAGTTATTTTTCACATTTAGCTCCACCCTTTCTTGAAAAGGGGTCAACTTGGAAGAAACACCGATGAGGAGAATGGAAATAAGGAAGGTTCGACAACCACGCTTGACATCTTGAATTACCAGTCTCTGCAGAATGGTACCAAAGCTCAGGTGAGCATTGGCGAGTTTGTCTTTGAAGCTCACGGTGCTCAGCACTTTTCCCTAAATGATGAACTGATAACTTGGGGTGAATACTATAGTGAAGTGAGTATCTTTGGAGTTGGCCCCATGCACTATTCCTCAGAGAACAGGGCAAATGGGAGCCACTGAAATAACCACACAGAAACCATATTAATTAAATCACTGCTTAGCCCATTAGCTCTAGCTTCTTATTGGTTAACTCTTACATATAAATTTAACCCATTTCTAGTAATCTGTATATCGCCACATAGCTGTGGCTTACTTGGTAAAGTTCTGTCTAGCTCCAGCGGGGCTACATGACTTCTCCCTGACTCCACCTTCCTTCTTCCCACACTCAGTTTAGTTTTTTTCACCTGCCTCCATTCCCTGTACAGATCCAAGACAGTTTCTAATGGTATTCACAGCATACAGAGGGGAATCCCACATCAAATCGTTGTAAGAATTACTGATTCATTTTGGATTAATTCTTTAGATTGTCTTGTAAAGATCTAATAGATGCCTGGCCTTCCTGGCAAGAAGGAACAACTCAGGCAGTTTTCTAGATGGATCATACAGAGGCCAAGGCTTAGGTGGAAGTGACTAACTTGGGTGAAAGAAATAAGGCGACAATCTAGGGACAAAAACAGTCTCTGAAAATAGGTGATTCTGAACTCGAATTTAAAAAGCTCTATGCACATTCATTTCCCTTATTTTTGGCACCATTCACCCTGAGCATCTCGGTGATGTGATGAAAATGGACATGACGCATAGTGATGGGGATGTTGTGGTCTTCTGGGATCCTGCTGGAGAGGGAAAATCAGTTCTCTCTAATGGAATGACAGTGGGTATGTCAACCACTCCAGGGCAGCTCTCATGTCAGGAGTTGAGCAGCAAAGAAGGGAACTCAGGTTTTGCTTTTGTATTATTTGCTTTTATCTGTTTACAATTTGGTGGGTTTTGTTTTCTTTTTTGGTACTGTTGTATTTTTGCTAGGTTTGAGGGGTTTGTTGTTGTATTGGGATTTTGGTTTATTTTTTGAGAAAGAACTTAATGTTGGATGGGTATGGAGGAGGAGATGATCAGATTGGGGGGTATGATCAAAATATATTTAAATTTAAAAGTTGTTTTTTATAATAAGATAAAAATAGGTAAATGAAATAAAGTAAGAGTTCATATGATGTCAAGAGAAAAATATTTTTAAGCGTCAAACTCTCTAAAAGCATGGCAGTTCCTGCCGTTAGCACAGGCGTCCTGCTGAAATCTGCCCTGTGGATGCTAACCCGGATTCTGCCTCTTGTCTCATTTCCCTCCTCCCATGTCTCCTATACAGGCTCCTTTTGCTGTCTGCACTCCAAGTTGCCTACTGGGATTCAGAAAAATGCCTCTTGAAGGAAAACCATTTTGTTGTTCTGATTGCCTGCCTTGCCCAGATGGAGAGATCGCAAATAAGACAGGTATTTCTGGAAATGATTTGAATATGGAAGAATACATAGTGAGACGGGGCTGAGTATACAATGCCTGAGATCATTTATATTTATATAACTAACTTCAACACTTAAAAAGGAAGTTCTTGTGAGGTAGTGGTGGCCCACGCCTTTAATTCTAGCACTTGAGAGCCAGAGGCAGGCGAATCTGTGAGTTCAAGGCCAACCTGGATGGCCAGGGCTACGTACAGAAACCCTTTCTTAAAGAAAACAAAACAAAACAACAACAACTGAACTTTATTTCACTCCAGTTTTTACTGTTGCTTTTTGTTTGTTTTATTTTGAAATTAAGCCTTGCTATGCTGCCCAGATTGGTCTCAAAATCCTGGGTTCTAGTGATCCTCCTGCCTCAGCCTCCTAGATTACTACAGGAGTATGCTCCTGCATCCGGCCCAGCTTAGTCTTCAACACATCTGTGTTAAGTTCAGTTCCTTTTCTTCCCATGCTTGCTTTTCATTAGTGGTTCTGTTACTGCCATAGCAATAGTAACGAGTAAAGTTAGCATTCCCTGTACATAATGTTTGTATGACAAACATTATAAAAGGGTGACCTTATTTCATGCTTGCAAGAGATGACTAATAATAACCAACATTTGAATGAGGAAATTGAGCTTCAGATACAACCTAGAGACAACTGAAACAAAATGTGTCCTTGTCCAATCGGAGGTCCTGCTAGAAACATTGTAGTGGAGTCACACTGATGCAGACACACTGCTCCTTTCCTGGGACCCGTGATCATTGTTTGAGACACTTTCTATGGTAGAGACTCCATAAATACTTATTTAATGACTAAATAAATATTTGCTTTGTGATTTTATACTCTTCTTTCAAACTGCTTTGATTCTTGTGGGAGTTCTCATTGTAAATGTATTCCCTGGTTCTGTAAGCTAGCCCGAGGCCGCTGTAGAACCAAGCACTGAGTGACCTCAGAGGATGCTCAAGTGTGGGTATGCTCCTCCCACTGCACTGACTATCCAGCTGTGGCCACTTCCTCCTCTAAATGAGTCTAATTGCAAATCCTCTCCAGAGCACATTAACAATGCTCCCTGCCAGTTTGGGTGCCTGAAATTCACATCTGATATCTATTTCCAAGTAGGCACAAGCCATTCCCATTTTACTCTTCTGAATGAAATCTTTACCTATGCAAAGAATCTTTAAAATAAGGCTCTTTGCTTTTTTTGTGGCAGAGACACCAATGGCCAGGCTGACTGCTTCCTAAGTGCTGGGATTACAGATGAGCACCAACAAGCCTGTGCTCTGCATTCTCATCAATATCAAATATCACCATTCCCTTAGAAAAGTAATACATTTGACTTTAATAGAGAAACATCAAGAAAATATATCTACCTTCATCCTTTCTAGAGACACTATAATTTTTAAGTGTTTGTGGTTCTATGTAATATGCTTGTGGTGGCCTTTTCCTCTCAACCCTATGTAAGTATTTTCTGAGACATCAATAGAAAGCTTGATGTTTCCAGGTCTATGTGACTGAATCATTTTTCCTCCATAGTCTAACATCTACTAAGTATAACATTATCCTTGTACCCCACTAGTTATAGTCTGGAACAATAACTTTTGTGCTGTGTCTAAAGACTTTAATTTTAAAAAGTTTGCAAATGTACAAGATTATGTTTACTGCAAATCAGGAGTTTAATTGGATGATAAGATCTTTTGATTCTAAACAATGTTGAGAAAAATATTCCTTTTATCATTGTGCATGGAGCACATTTTTGTGCTGGATTTTGAACCGAAGCCTCACATATGCTAGGCGTGTGATCTATATAAAGCTGCACCCACAGATCATCCCGTTAACCTTATGTTTCATTACTGGACTAAATTCACTCAGGGCTCACCATACACCTTTAACAATGGATTTGGTACGTGTTCTATGGCCCATCAGCTGTTCAGTGGCTTCTAATACTTCTTGATAGTATCTTTAAAACATTACACCTACGCTCTGGAAGTAGTCCAACCAGTATTATTTCCTGTGTGCCCTTTTTATTCAAACCACCAGTATCTAACTGCTTATGTTAAAGAATGTATTCTTCAAAATCAAAAGGAAGAGTGAGCAAAACTGATATCCAAACATATCAACTTTTGACAATAACCATAAATAAATCATCATCCCTGAAAACAACCTATGTATACCACTGAAAATAACTGGTTTGAACCACTCTTTGCAAGAAAAATAAACAGTATAGAATGATCAATATTTTACTGGTGCTTTAAGACTTTTGTGACATATAAACTCACAGTTGAACATGCAATTGTTTTCTTTCTTCCTTTCCTTCTCTCCTTTCCTTTTGAGATAAGGCCTCAATGGGAAGCTCTATCTGGCGTGGCATGTGCGATGTAGACCAACCAGACTGAGGGGCACTCCTGTTTCTGTTTCCCGAGTGCTGGAATTGCAGATGTGTGATATTGTGTCTTGCTGTAATTATTTTTCTGACTAAAGAGAGGCCCCGTACAAGTGTCCTTCAGAGTGAATGACGTCTAAGCTTAGAGAATAAGACTTCCCATTTTGCTGCATTAGCTTTAAATATTCAGACTTACCTCTACCTGTATCTTTTTTCCAAAAAGATACCATGAGAAGAAAATTACTAAATGTTTTGATAAAAATTACATAAAACTCAAATAACATAAATGTATGCAATAGATACACATTGACAATTAAGTGTAAAATTATTTTACTTTAATCAACTTTTAATTATAGTTCAAAGAAAGATTTTAAGGATCTCACCAAAACAAGCATTTTTTTTATCATAAGTAAAAATATTCACCTCTACAATGTATTGCCTTCAGCATTATTTTTAGAACAATGATACATCCTTTGGTAAAATCAAAATCAAAGAAACAAAAGAAAGTACTACATAGATGCCAGAAAACATTAGGAAGTTTTGAGTTCTAGGCCTTCCACAGTCACAACCTATACCAATGGGCATGCAAGCAACATTAAGGGAACTCAGAGGGTTTTTTTTTAAAGAGCAAGTGAAGTTGGGAGAGAAAAGTAGCAGAGGGGGATAGAAAAGAAATTGGAGAGGGAAGAAATGGGTGGTAGATTTGACCAAAATACATTATATGCATATATGAAGGTCTCAAGCAATAAAAAGAAAGATTTTTTTAATTAAGAAAAGGGTCAAAAAAGGAAAAAGCTAAAAGTTTCAAAATATATTTTCCTTTCATATATAATCAAATAAAATTTTCATACTGTCTGATTTCCCTTCAATATCATTTCTATATTCCTGGTACTTCTGCTGTTGTTCAGTTACACTCACTTTCTGTATATTTTATGGATTCAAATGTATATGTATTTTCTCTCATGAAAGATTACTTATCTATTTTTTCAATATTAAAGTTCAGTGAATGTCACCAATAGCATTATATAGCATGAGTTCTAATTGGTCTTAATAATAAAAACCCAGAGCCAGAATCAGGATAAATTCTAAAAGAACAGATAGAATAAAGAGCAAGACACAGACCGTCCTTATTTTGCTAACTCCTCAGGTGAAAAAAGGGGGTAAGCTCCTGTTTCCTCAGCCTTATATTCTTCTCTCCACCCAGCCAAACCACTTCCTGTCTGTCTGTGCAGACCTGCAGACCTCCATGGCTAACTAGTGGCTAGCTCTGCCCTTTCATCTTCAGGAAAGCTTTATTTGTTAGAGCACAAACTTAATATCATCACAGCATTCCTGTAGTTGGATTTTTCTGTCCCTCCTGCCAGCTCCAAAATAACCACACGGAGACTTATTAATTATAAAAGCTTGGCCAATACCTTAGGCTTGTTCTTAACTAGTTCTTATAACTTACATTAGCCCACATTTTTTAGTCTCTGTTCTTTTATATGGCTCAGTTGCCTTTATTCTGTACTTCCCATGCTGATTCCTCTCTGTCTATCTGGCAAATCCACCTTTTTTTTTTCTTTCCAGCATCTTCTGTATCTAGCTGTCTTGCCTATACCTCCTGCTCAGCAAATAGTCATTTAGGTTTTTATTAAACAATAAGAAGGCACCCTGGCAAATACACATCTTCACAGCATACAAAAAGGTTATTCCACAACACATTCCCTTCAGAATTCAACAGTGGTTCTGCTCAAGGTATACTTCCCATACAAACATTTGGGAAGTGACTGACGGAATGTCAACATCAATCTGCTTTCCCTTTCTATGGCTAACATAGATAATAATAATGGATTAATATAAGTTACAAGGGCTAATAAGAAGCCTGACCTAATGAGTTAGTCAGCTTTATAACTTATAGAGACCTCTGTGTGATTGATTTTCTCTGGGACTTGCCGACTGTGGAGTACCGGGTGGGAACAGAAACCCCAACAAGCCGGCCCCTCATGCTACACCTTTCAGATATGGATCGATGCATCAAGCGTCCAGAAGATCAGTATCGAAATAAGCAGAGAAATCAGTGTCTTCCTAAAATTATAACATTTTTGTCCCATGAAGATACTCTGGGAGCTGTTTTGGTCTCTGTGGCCATAAGTTTATTTGTCTTCTTAGCTCTGATTTTAGGATTATTTATCTACTATTAGGACACACCCATTGTCAGGACAAATAACCAAAATCTCAGCTATATTCTGCTTGTTTCTCTAATGCTCTGTTTCTTTTGCTCTTTGATATTCATTGGTCAACCTAGGAAAGTCACCTGTGTCTTGAGACAAACAGTTTTTGGGGTTGTATTTTCTGTTGCTGTCTCTGCTATCTTAGCAAAAACCTTCATTGTGGTTATGGCCTTCCAAGTCATCAAACCAGGGAGTGCATGGCGAACATGGATGCTATAGACTCTCAAATGCTGTAGTCATCAGTGCTTCCCTCATCCAAGTGTGCATCTGTGCAGTCTGTCTTGGAACATATCCGCCTTTCCCTGACATTGACATGCAGTCTGAGTTTGGGCAAATCATCCTGTGGTGCAATGAGGGCTCCACTCTTGCCTTCTATTGTGTCCTGGGGTACCTGGGTTTTCTTGCAGTTCTGAGCTTGCTTATTGCTTTTCTGGCAAGGAGGTTACCAGACAGCTTCAATGAGGCAAAAACAATCACGTTCAGCATGCTGGTTTTCTGTGTTGTGTGGATTTCTTTCATACCCACTTACCTGAGCTCCAAAGGCAAAACCATGGTGGCTGTGTAAATTCTTTCCATTCTGGCCTCTGGCACTGGCTTACTGCCCTGTATATTTCTTCCCAAGTGCTAGGTGATCCTACTAAGATCAGATGATCAGTCGAGAGAAAAATTCTTTAAAAAGACTTCTTTCTTAAGGCAAAGGAATTTATTGCGATGTGTATGAGATGAACCACATAGAAATAAAGACTCACAAGTGTTGTGTGAAGTCAGTGCATTTTACTAAGCAGTGGCATCTGCTGTTTAATCAAGAGTCTCTGTCTTCCTTGGAGACAAAGCCACCAGGGCTTAGATAGTTGTCAACTAGTCATGACTTTTGATGTCTCCTTTCTTTAAATCAGGTTTTCTCATTTTTCTACATCATGTCACAGGACTGGGAAAAGATTGTGTGAGACTGAAATAAAATAATTTGTATGGAAAAAAGTAGCAGCTATTTAAAAATGTGCTTCCTATCTGTTAGTCATAAGCAAGATGATATTTTCTATTCAGTACAGATTAACTTAAAAGTCTCCAGGAGTTCTGGTATAGAAAACTCATGGTCTCTGCTTCTCCCTCCTCAAGCGTGTCACAAACAGTATAGGATGTGTAGAATTTCGGTTGTGTCTTGTGCTCTTCCCTATTCCCCAGATGAAATAACGTGATGGAAGCTTAGTTAGAGTCTCGGGGGAAGCAGAGGTGTATTGTGCCCTAAGGCTATCTACCACAGCAGTGCATAGATGGTCTACTGGAAGTGGAAGCAGCCTTCATGGAGTGCTGTTTCCCAATAGAGCTGGGAATTTCATATTGCATTCCACATCCTCACCTAGTGAAAACTGATATCATTTGCATGCATTGAATTCTATTCTCAAGGCAGGAATGTGTCTGAACATAGATTTAGACCAAGAGATGACATTTAAGGACAGCGATTTAAAAGGACACAGAGAATTGTGGGATCATGCACCCTGAATTCTAAAGATTTTCAGATATTTGCTTTTATCTAGCCAAGAAATTCCTTTAAACGTGTCTGTCAGTTTTGGGAACCTGTCCCCCATGCTGGGTTACCTTACCCAGCCTTGGTGTTCAGTCTTGCCTCAGCTTGATATGGCAGGCTTTGTTCAAGCCCTTGGAAGGACGGCCCCTTTCTGAATGGAGATGGAGGAGGATTGGAAGGTAAATAGAAAGCAGGAGAAGAGGGAGGAGAAACTATAGTCATTATGCTAAATAAATAAAAATGTTATTTAAATAAAATAAATGATTGTCAATGGCGTGCCAACGTGGGGCTGACCAAATCTACTTAAAAGCATGAGAGACCCTTTGAAGTTATTCTAGATAAAAAGGAATAGGGTTAAGGATGGCTTCTTAATAGCAGCATTTTCTCAGGTGGGCTCTGCTTACTAGAGGCAAGCACTCTCATTTAAGAGAGGCTTCCTGACTCATGAGAGGTCCTGCCACAAAACACTTAGATGGTGTTGATGAAAAGCTGACTGTGTGCTTTTCAGTAGTGGCAGGGACCTTGAAACGCCATAAAGCTGTGGCAATAAACAAAGCTCCAGCCCATGACGCTGGAATCTCAGAAAGCTAAGGAATGGGCTGGACCCAGCCATTAAGGCCACGACTTTAACCCAAGCCATATTGCTTGGCAAATTAAAGTCTCATTGTGGTCAGAAAAAGAGATATACAGTAAAGATAGATTCAGATGAAGAAAACCTCTAAAAGGGTTACAGTGTATTTAAAAATATATGTAGGCTTCGGAGAAAAAAGAAAAAAAGGATAAGGTCCTTAAAGAAAGAGAGTAGTTGGGTGTGGTGGCACACACCTTCAATACCAATACTTGGGAGACAGAGGCAGGTAAATCTCTGTGAGTTCCAGAACAAAGATACACAGAGAAACTCTGTCTCAAAAAGCCAAAAAAATAAAAAATAAAAATAAAAGAAATGGAAGTTAAAATAAAGCCACGTAATAAAAGATGAAAAATACATAGAAAGTCTGGATACTGTATATTATTATGTTGTCTTTGAATTGCTTGACAGCTGAGGAAGGAGCCACAGCTGCTAAAAGACATTTAAATATAAATGCTGCTGGATTGATAAAACATAAATATTTTATAAATGCCTTGACTTCAAAATTGAAGTCAAAAGATATGTTACTTTGGAAAAGAGGTTTTGCTTTTGCCTCCACAGAAAATGAGAGGCTATGGATTCATTCTGAGTTAAGAAAAATCAGGTTTGATCAAGGAAGACTACCTGAGAAATCTCTGGTAGGAACAGATGGCCCAGATGTCTGAGTTCTACATCCAGAACTGATTCAAGACTGCTGCCTGAGATGATCAAGCCTCACATGATACTCCAGTCATGACATGATGATAATTATAAATTTTCTTTAGGTCCTCATAAGATTATCAGTGCTCCTAACCAGCAGAAAGTAGCCTCGAAAACTATGCCCACATTCCCCAAAAATTGGATTATGGATATTTTCCTTTGTTTAGAATGTTGGTTACAAGTTGTTATTTATAATGGTCAGGAGAAAAGCTAAACAAAGGATATTAGAAATAGATTTCTTGTTCCTTAAAAAGGGGGGGAGTGCTATGGGACAATGGTTTATACCATGTCAATTGTATTTTAATAAAATGCTGATTGGCCAGTAACCAGGCAGGCAGTATAGGCAGGACAACCAGACAGGAAGTAGAAGCAGGTCAATGAGAACAGAAGAATTCTGGGTAGAAGGAAGTCCTGTTCTGTAGTCGTGACCCAGCCATAGAAGAAGCAAGATGTGATTGCCTTGCCGAATAAGGTACTGTAGTGAGGAGCTGCGGGCAGGCCTGCTTTTCGTCCCGCCCGGCTCCCACACGGCTAGCTTAGCCCCAGAAATAACAACACACAAATTGTATTCATTTAAACACTGCCTGGTCCATTATCTCTAGAGAGTTAGTTACTGACTAACTCTCACATCTTGATTAACCCATTTCTAATAATCTGTTTAGCACCACAAGGTGGTGGCTTACCGGAAAAGATTCAGCATGCCTGACCTGGTGGCTGGCTCCATGGCATCTGCCTCATTGCCCTCTTCCCAGCATTCTGTTCTGTTTACTCCGCCCACCTAATTTTCTGTCCTATCAAAGGGCCAAGGCAGTCTCTTTATTAACCAATGAAAATAACACATTGACAGAAGGCCCATCTACATCAAGGTACCAAGCCACGTGGCTAACATAGACAAGAATAATGGGCTAATATAAGTTATAAGTGTTAATAAGACGTCTGAGTTACTAGGCCAATCAGTTTATAACTAATGTAGACCTCTGTGAGATTTCTTTGGGACTTAATGACTGCAGGAATGGGGCAGTACAGAAACCTCAGACAACAATTGTCAGATCATGCAAACAGCAAATTCACATTGATGCTTAAAACAGTGGGAGAAGTCACTGATAAAGAGTGGCAGCCATGATTTAAAAAAAATAGATGCTTGGAAATTGCTACATGATCAGAATGGTTTTGTCTGTGTTTTAGAACAAGACTTACATTTATCTTTTCTCATTCTTTATTTTTAATCAAAATTTTATTTTATTTCTTAATAATTTATTTTATATTTTTAAAAAACAAAACAAACTATCTTTTTTATTTTACTTACAAATCCAAGTTCCCACTCCCTCCCCTCCTCCTACTCCCTCCATCTACCACCCTACTCCACCCTCCCATCCACTCCTCAGAGAGGGTAAGGCACATTGCTTTGAGAAAGGTCCAAGGCACTTTCTACTTTATCTAGGCTGAGCAAGGTATTCATCCAAAGAGAACAGGCTCCAAAAAACCCAGTACAAACAGTAACAATAAATCCTGGTGCCACTGCCAGTGGCCCCACAGTCTGCCCCAGCCTTACAACTGTCACCCACATTCAGAAGGTCTAGTTTGGACCCATGCTGGTTCCTTCCCTGTCCAACTGGAGTTGGTAAGCTCCTATTAGCTTAAGTAAGCTGTTTCACTGGGTGTCCCTATCATGGCCTTGACCTCTTTTCTCATATTCTCACTCCTCCCACTCTCCAACTGGATTTTTGGAGCTCAGTCTAGTGCTCCACTGCTGGTCACTGCCTCTGTTTCTATCAGTTATTGGATGAAGGTTCTATGGTGACATTTAAGATATTCATCAGTCTGACTACAGGGCAAAGCCAGTTCAGGCAACCTCTCCACTATTGCTTAGGGTCTTAGTAGGGTTCATCCTTGTGGATTCCTGGGAATTTCTATAGTGCCATGTTTCTTACTAGGCCCTTAATGAATCCCTCAGTCAAGATGTCTCTTTCCTTGCTCTCTGTCTCTGTTCATCTCCTATCACATCTATCCTGTTACCTTAAATTCTCCTCCCCCTCCCCTTTTCTCCTCCTCCCCTTTCTCTGTTCTCCTCCCACCCTGATGCTCCCAATTTTCTCAGAAGATCTTGTCTATTTACCCTTTCCAGGCGAATCTGTGTATGTTTTTCTTAAGGTTCTCCTTGTTATTTAGCTTCTCTAAGATCATGGACTATAGGCTCAATATCCTTTGCTTTACAGCTAGTATGCACTTATGAATGAGTACACACCATGTTCATATTTCTGGGTCTGGATTATCTCACTCAGGATAGTCTTTTCTAGTTCCATCCATTTCCATGCAAATTTCAAGATGTCATTGTTTTTTACCACTGGGTAGTACTCTAATGTATAAATGTGCCACATTTTCTTTATTCATTCTTCAGTTGAAGGACATCCAGGTTGTTTCCAGGTTCTGGCTATTACAAATAATGCTGCTATGAACATAGTTAAACAAATGCCTTGTAGTATGATTGAGTATCTTTTGGGTAAATGCTCAAGAGTGATATTGCTGGGTCCTGCGATAGATTTATTCCCAGTTTTCTGCCAAACCACCATACTAATTTTCAGAGTACAAGTTTGCATTTCTCATAGCAATGGAGGTGTATTCCCCTTACTCCACATCCTCTCCAGCAAAAGCTGTCATTGATAGAAGAGAAAGTGGGAAGTAGTCTTCAAGACTTACATTTCATTCACAGTATTTTAGCTTAGGAGAGTGTTTGCACACTGCAGTATCAGATACAGTATCACTATAAGAGCAAGAAACATTTAAGATTTTCTTAGTCTATTTTGAATTTCATTTTTAAAAAGCTTATCTCATATTGGACTGAGTTGTTTCTGTTTGGCCATAAAAATAG